TATTTATTTTTGGTTCCTCATAGGTCATTTGTGTGTGTGTGTTTTACTTTGGGGACATGTTCATCACATGTTGAAAGTCAGTCTCATGAAGTTCTTTTATTGGATAGCACATGGTGAATTTTAAGTTTTCCCCATTGTTTTCCCATTTTTTTTTCAGTCCAGTAGTAATATGTGTGGTTTTGATAATATCTTTGTACTATTTAATAATAGTTATTTTCTGAATCTGATGTCCTTGTGTCAAGTTTGTTTTCATCTAACTGGTAATCTAATTTTTTGCTTTCTTTTTATTTTTTTGTATTTTTTACAGTTCTCTTTCTATACATGTGGAGTAATTTTTTATTTTATAATATGAAAAGAACAACAACAACAAAAATTAAGTGAAGGAAAGCAAACAAACTTAGCAGATAATAACAGTAATTATATGGAAATGTGATAATAAATAATAATAAATAATAAATTTTATTTATATCCTGCCCTCCCCAGCCGAAGCTGGGCTCAGGGCGGCTAACAACAATCAAAATAGTCCAATAATGATAATGAATAAAATGTTTAATCCACTAAGATTGTTATTATTTGCAGCTTCCCATGGAAACTGGAGGACATCCTTTTTGCCTTTTGCCCCTTCCTTGTCTAACTGTGTTTAAGTCTCCCCAAAACCCTGCCCCCTTACAGGATATCACTTCTACAGATGTGCAATGATGAAAAGCAGCAACAACCCCTCAACTCACAAGACCTGCAACACCAGAGTTTTCAAAGTGCCCACAGTTATCTCTTTCAAAGGCTATAGACTGATGGGGGGGGCTGACAAAGGGGGGAGGAGTTGAATTGCAAGGACATTTTTTCACTTGAACCTCAAGCCTCTGCTCCAGGATTCAAAAGATACATACGTAAAAGATCACAATTGTGTCAAGATATGCAACAGATATTTAATTATTTTGTTTTGTATTATGTGTTATTATGTAAGAATGTTGAAATGTGTCTGACAGTGTGATTTCCACAAAGGGGGGCAATTTTATTGTGTGTAACTGTTTTTATGTTTAATGTCTTATTGCTTACACACCAGTGGAGAATTCTCATGCATTTTATACTTTCTAATAGCTCACACTATTGTGTAGTCCAATGTTTAGATCAATTTATAACCACATTGTCCCACCTGGCACTATGCCAATCTTCCCTATCCATTTTAAAATGTGTTAAACCTCGCTTTGCCAAGGACAAACTTCTGGATCCATAAAACACCAGGTACATGAAGGTGGATATGCTTTGGTTTAGCAGGAATGATCCCTTATAGACTTAAATTGACTTATTTGGACAACTGCCCTTGTTAAGAATGGTTTTCTTTTAACAGAAAAGTTGAGAACCATGGGGCAAGAAGATAAATTCAAATTGGACTCAGTTTGAATTGGGCAAGTGTATCCAGGCTGCAATTAGCTTTTTGGTCCTTAAAGTGCAAGTGAGCGACTTCCCAGGATGCAAGACCAGAGCCTGTAATAATAATAAGAAATCCCATGGATTTGGCCAAGGCAAAGGCATTCTCCTCAGGACGTGCCCGAAACCTGTGCCAGCTATGGTGAATGCCAGGCGACATGGTTAAATGAAAGCCCCGAGGGGATTCAACAGACAGGATGTGTTGCTGTAGCACTATGTCAGTGTGAGACCACAGAAGAGCTAGCTTGACACCTGAGAAACACACAAAAATGGCGAAGGACAAAACACCAACTGCATTTTTCAGTCATTAGTGGACCTTCCTGCTAGGTGTAAAGCATAGAACACTATTGAGTAAATGGTCTCTCCCAAAGTGTTAGAATGCCACAAGTAATTTAGTAGCAAAACGCAACATGTGTTATTTTTATATGATATATTTATACAAAGACATCCATATACAACATACGATGTTATTATTTGTGGGGCAAAAATTTTTAAGAAAAATTCTAGCCCCAAAGGGGGGAATAATGTGATAGGAATTTTATGGTCTTAAATATATAGTAATGTTCATAACTGCACATACATAGATCAGCACAGGAAAGCCAACCTGGAACCATTTTGATTCCTAAACTGACCAAATCCTTTCTCTGCAAGGTTAAAAATGGAAAAGCCTCCCCATTGTCTCTTCCTTCACAAATCCTGTCTTAATCTGTGTTTGAATAAGGTGTGAGCCTGTGACCTGGCCCAGGAAATAAGTATTTTAGCACTACAAAAGAATGGCCAGGCTCCCCAGAAATCCAATCAAGCAACTTGCCAGACTGGAGATAAACTGGGACAGGAGAAAAACAACATTTAAATTTCTGTGATGTAGGTGGGATGTATCTGAGGGGTGGTCTTAGGTTACACCCCTTCTGTGATGTATGCATAATGTTTCTGGGGGTGGTCTTGATCTAGAGGATGGGAATTTCAAAAGTCTTTATAAGGCCTTGCAGGCCATTGTTCTGGGTCCTCTTCCTCTCCTGCGTGTGAGGGGAGTACCCTGTTGCAACAGATCAATAAAGATCAAGCTTACTAGCTGCTTTGCTTCTTTGCTTCTCAATATTCTCTGGTTGGCCTCTGTTATTTTCTCCTACCAATAGGGAACCTATGTAAGGACTCTATATGGGCTCTTGGATACCCCATAAGGGAAAAGGGCATATATTTTTATTTACAACAATAGCAACAACAAAGTCCTGTTGTCAGAAAGCCACAACAACGCACTGCTGTGCCCTCAACCTTTGACCTGCCGGTGTTGGGACTGCTCAGCCACTGCTCAGCGCTTGCTTTGCTTGGCAACTCAGCAGCTCTGCATGGAGGAATGTCACAGAACGGTGTTCTTGTCGGATCTGGTGCTGAAATGTCTCCTCCCCTCTCAGCTAGGCTTGTGTGTGCCCTGTTAATCTGTGCCCTCGGACTCCCCTGTTTGCTTAGCGTGGCGTTTTGAGCATCTTTGCTCTCAAGCAACTAGTCCTCATGTTTGTAACTCGGATCAGTATTTGGCCTGGGCTCAAAGGAAGGTAGGCAGGAAGTGGTTTTGAAAGTGGTCAGGCGCTTCAGTCCCCTTTGGAGTTCTCTTTGGTTCCTCTAGGTCTACTTGTGGTTCAAGCCCATGCAGGATTCCTGCATTGCAGGGGGTTGGACTAGATGTCCCTCAAGGTCCCTCCCAACTCTACAATTCTGTGAATATTCCATACCTTTATCTCCCAGTTCTGCTAATCTGCACCTGTACCTCTTCCTCTGTGCCCTTCTCCTGCTCCCCATCATATTCTGTTATCAGCTCTTGTTTAACAATTCCAAATTATCCACTAATCCATATCTTGGAAGCAGACATTAATATGCAAATCATGCACTTATCACTGACTTGGTTTGCGGGGTGTGTGTGTGTAGGAATTTCTGCAGATAGGGAAAAGAGGCCTCCCTCTCCCTTTCGCGTTATGTTGGCTCTCTCGGAAGACGCTTGGCTCCCTCACCTTCCTTTACCTGTAGTGAGCGTGATCCTTCAAATCAACTGAGGCTTAATCTGGCTCAAGTTAATAAAAAAGGAATTTTCTGCCGGCTTAAGGCTGAATCCTCTGGTCTCCCTTTGTGGGATGAGATGGTTAAGGTGCCAGCGGCGGAATTATCGCGGCCAGCCTGCACGTCCTGTCTTGCGAGAGAGAGCGCCACTGGGGCTTAGCTTCCTTCCTTTTTTTTTAAAGATACAGATTCCAAACTCTTGGCTGCTTGCACTGAACTGCAGGGGTAGCCAGAGCTGGGGATTGCTGAGTCAGCAGTGCTAGCGATGCAGTCAAAAGCCTCTGCATCAGATCAAAGCAAAGTGTGGCCGGACACCTTCTTCAGATGGCTGCACCCTGTTCAGCTCTGTCGCAAACCCGCGAGCTTGCCCTGCAGCTGCGTAAGGTGTGCAGGGTCCGCGGGGGTGGGCTGTTGTTGTCCAGTAAGCAAGAGCTGAAGGACTGGATGGTAGGATCGGAGGCTGCTCTTGAAGTATGGTGCTCAAAGCCGGTATTGCCCTGTGTTTCAGCAAGGTAGGCAGTCTCAGATCTGAAGCGAGAGTGCCTGCGTACATGATGATAAATATTCAAGCGTGCAACGCAGGGGTTCTCAAAGGGTGTGGCGGGAGAGGGTGGCAAGTGTGGCGGGATAAATTCAAGGGCAATCAGAGGAACGTGTAAACCTTTTAGTGTAGCCTATTATCAAAATTAATTTGCAGAATTTTGGAAAGGATCCATGTTCTCATTGTTTTTTATACTTTCTGGGTGTCTCACAAAGTTGTCGTGTTCTGTGTTAAGAACCAGTCCCTGCTAGCAATCGTTTTCTCCCAATGCATTTCTTACTGATAAAAAAATTGGGTGCGACGTGAGCAAATTTTTTATTCTGAAAGTGTGGTCCAGAGAAAAGAAAGTTTGAGGATCGTTGCTGTAAGGAAACAGCCACACATTGATTTATTTATTGTGGCCTCAGTGCCCGCTAGAATATTGGAGTGCCTCAGTTCACGTCAAAAGTAGCTGAGCCAGCTCCCTTCCTAAGGGATGGATGGATGAAATGGGAGCTTGTCTGTGCAAAGCAGGGGTTGTCCCTCTGCCTTGTGCTTCCTCCTCTCCCCCAAGGACTGCCTTTCCGCATATCCATTTCCAAATGATGTTTAAGGGACGTGGGTGGCACTGTGGGTTAAACCACAGAGCCTAGGACTTGCCGATCAGAAGGTCGGCGGTTCGAATCCCTGTGACGGGGTGAGCTCCCATTGCTCGGTCCCAGCTCCTGCCAACCTAGCAGTTCGAAAGCACATCAGAGTGCAAGTAGATAAATAGGTACCACTCCGGCGGGAAGGTAAACGGCGTTTCCGTGCGCTGCTCTGGTTCGCTAGAAGCGGCTTAGTCATGCTGGCCACATGACCCGGAAGCTGTACGCCGGTTCCCTCGGCCAATAAATCGAGATGAGCGCCACAACCCCAGAGTCGGCCACGACTGGACCTAATGGTCAGTGGTCCCTTTACCTTTACCATTAATAATGCTATATCTTTCTTTTCTTAACAGGATAACATAGTTTCTACGTACAGCAGCCTTTCTCAGGGATGTCCAAAGTATACACCATTTACAGCCAGGATAGATTCGTTGTCCAGGTAAGTACTTATCCTTTAGAAGTTTCTCACCACCTACAACGAATTGTAGAGTTGGAAGGGACCCTGAGGGTCATCTAGTCCAGTGTTTCCCAACTTTGGGTCTCCAGCTGTTTTTGGTTCACAACTCCCATTATCCCTAGCTAGCAGGACCAGTGGTCAGGGATGATGGGAATTGTCGTCCGAAAACAGCAGGAGACCCAAGGCTGGGAAACACTGATCTGGTCCAGCCCTCTGCAATGCTGGAATGCAACTAAAGCCCCCATGACAGAAATGTAGCTTCAATTATTTGTAAGATAATTTTGTTCCCCAGTGACTGCAGTTCAGAGCATAGCTGTCAACTTACAGATTTGAAAATAAGGGGCCAGCAGCCTCAAAAATAAGGGATCAGCAGCCAAAATAAGGGATTTTCCAAGCACAGGTATGTTCAACTTCTGAGCCCCTCCAAGCCAAAGGCAGAAAGCCCAGCCAGCAGCCAAATGAAGCCTCAAGCGGTGGTTCCCACAGCGCAGCAACCCGGCAAAGGGGATGCAGCAAGGAAAACCACCGTCACTTCTCCGCTGGGAAGCGCTGAGCAAAGGCGAGTCCCCAGGCAACGCGGCCGATTTGATTGGCACAAGGCATGCAAGCTCCACCCAGTCGTTCTTAGACTCCTTATTGGGTGAGCAACGCAGCCAAGCAACACAGTTGGAGCCTCCCTCCTCCCTGGCCGGCAGGGAGGGAGGGAGAGGAGCTGCTTCCTTTGAAACCCGGGAAATTTAAGGGACATCATCAATAAGGGACAGCAGCAGGACACAGCGCTGGGATAAGCGAGTTTCCCGCCAAATAAGGGACGGTTGACGGCTATGGTTCAGAGGTACACTGCTTCTGAACTTGGAGGGTGTGTTTGACTGGTAGCCCTTGATAGATAAAGTTGTCTTACACCATGTCAGACTTTGGGCCCATACTACGCAGTATTAAGGAACCTTTTCTGTCCAGTGGCCCAGATCCTTATCTTCCCACCCCCCAGACGGTCAAATTTGACAAGCGGGTGGGGCTGCCCATCTGTCCATCACCTGACATCATACTGTCTGCACTACAAAGCGCATCACAGGCTGCTTGAAAGCCCTTTTTGCAAGCCTTTGGTGCTGCGATTTCAACCTGCAGATTTCAGGGGCTCAGAAAGCATCATTGGACTGTATGCAAAAGGGCTTTCAAATAGCCCTGTGCTGTTCTTTGAACCTCCAAAACCCAAAGGTTTCAAGAGCAGCGCAGAGCTGTTTCCAAAAGGGCTTTAAAGAGCAGCGCAGAGCTGTTTGCAAAAGGGCTTTCAAACCATTTTTTGCACTGGGCTTTTGCTCTGTGCGCCTGCTCCGAGGAAGGGAGCATGTAGAGCTATACTGAGCAGGATTTAACCCCTCGCTTACCAGCCCCAAACCTCCTAATGACCACTCCTTTACATAACTGCAGTATATTAAGTGGTATAAGAAAGTTTTATAAATAAATATGCACCATTGAAATAGCCTGCTATCCTAGGCTTAAATCCCAGTTTAGCTCTATGGGTTATGCTGCTGCATTGCTTTCCTTTCCTCATCTTTTACAGGCGCTTGCAGAAGCTTCTTTAACTAGTTTTCTAGCATCTGACTCCAGGCCCTTTTGCTGCATAACTCTCTAGCCCGCTGAGCTCTGGCTTCTCACAAATGAGATGCTGCAGCTGCAGTACACCTGGGAACAAATGCCAGGCAATGTTGGGGGGCACCCAGTTCTTGTTCAATGCAATTATGGCGTTGCCTGCTGATTAAACTCCCCCCTTTCTCAACAGTTCTCAAGAGCCGGCATGTGCCCGCTTCCCTTGGGTGCTGAAGATGGCAAAATAAGTGCCTTTCCTTCCGTCTCCTTAAGAGCCCTGGAAGACCCCCCAGAGGCAAAAGCTATTTCTGATCTGGGGACTGGCTATCAATATTTCATGCCTGGGTTGCTGAATTATGCAGCTCTTGGCTATTAAGCTACTAGAGCTCCTAATTTTTGCGGGGAGGAAGATAAATGAGCTGTAGAGTCCTGGTAGTTGACAAGATTTAAAAGGGGGAGATTTATCGCTCAAATTAAAAGCTCCAGGTGAGGGCACAGAGCGCGGTGGGGTCTCTGCGGTGGCGTGGGGAACCAGGCCTGAGACTCCCAGAGTCTCAAAGGCAGCTGCTGCTACCTCTCTGCTCTCTTTCTTCATCTCACAATGATCTGACAAATTGCCTTCAAAGTCAGCTTCGCTCGGGTCTCCCTGATGGCTTCAGCTGAGGAGCTTGTGACAGAGGAGGCACTCAGGTTGGTTGACCCCCACAGCTGTGCAAATAAGATTGCTGGCTGATGTGGCCGGTGGCCTTAGCGGTGCATCAATCTGCAGAAATAAGCAAGCGAAGCTTTCGCAGAATCACTTGCTGACGTCTGCAGATCCAGCTGCTGCGGAACGGGCAGGGGCAGCCGCTGCCTGTAAAATATGGGAACTGTGTGCGGGAAGAAGCCCTGCTTTCCTCTTTCTCTCCCCCCCCCCCCACTCGGCCACAGAGCAGGACGGAGAGCGCCTATTCTTTGTTGTATTGTTATTTATCTGTCCTGGATGCTTTAGGTGAGGTTCCTGCCATCTCAGGGGGTTGGACTAGATGACCCTTGGGTCCCTTCCAACTCTTTTAAGATTCTGCACTTCTATTTAACATATGCATTTTTATGTCGCCCTTCAGCTATATTCCCAGGGTGGTTTACGAAAAAAAAACACAGATCAAAATCAACATGCAAAAATAAAAAAATATGCAAAGCCACAAAATCATAAAAGTGGCATGAAGCAGTTAGGAGGTTTAAAATGTTCCCTAAAAAAGCACAAGTGGGGGGGGGGAGGAGGTCTTTGCGTAGTTCTGGGAAGGAAAATACCGTAGACACCATGTGGGGAAGAGCACAACTGGGGCACCTCCACCAAGAAGGCCCTCTTTCCTGTAGCCACTTGACCTGGCTTAGGTGACACCAGGAAGGAGCCCTTCCCCACTGGAGATTTTAATGTGTGGACAGGTACATAGGGAAATGCTTTATGCATGGGCTTTGCTCAGTTTTTGTCTCTGGGTTCATCTATTCTGCACCACCACGTGCGAGAGTAGTAACTATTAAGCTGCTATTTGCAGCTCCTAAAATGCATTCCATGAACACGTTCCCTCTCATTCTGCACAGCTTCATTCAGAATGCATGAGTTAATTGAGATGCAATGGTGCACCTTGTGTTAATGTTATTGTTGTTGTTATGATACAGCCCTATTGTGTTTCCTTAATTTTCCTGCAGCAGCGGGTTGTCCCTCTCACTTCAGTCCACGGGGCAGGAATATTCAGAGAGTTGCCCTCCTAGTGGGATGGGGGAAATCCCTTGCCTCCGTTCCTTCCAGTCCGGTTCCAATGCAGGACATTTGCTTGTCACTGTGCAGCCTGGGAAAGCTCCCCTGTCTTTCATTCTCTCTGCCTCTTCTTCTTCTTCAGGGACTATTAAGGCTCCCCGCCCCCCCCCAACCTATAAAGAAAGGAAAGGAAAGGAATTTAGCTGGCGGAGTTTAAAAGGGAATGCGGACGAACAATGGAAGGGCCCTTCATCACTTACCTAGGGCCATTGGTCCTTTACTCTCTGATTGTTGAGAAACACCTACCACATTTGCTGGTTGTAGGGATGGCTAAATGGCTCTTGGGGGGGCCCTTCGGACATCCATGATGATTTGTGCTCATCACACTGCTTCCTTTCCAAATCAGTGCATGTCCCGTAACTGAAATCCTGCATTTTTTTTTAATACCAGAAATGCTCAGTGGGTGTGCTTGCCCTGCTTTTGTTGTAATGCAGCAAAATAGCGTCTCTGCAGATGGCGATAAGGGAGGGAGGGGAGGGAGAGGTCAGCCTGGTGTGGAGCGCTGCCACACCACCTCCTCCTGCCCCACCGTCTCCCAGGACCAGGCACGGACCGAAGAGGGAGGAGCAGAAGCAGGTTGCACACGGACTCAGTCTTTGCTTGCTTGCGCGCAGCTCGGGTGGGGGGGAGATACGTAAGCTGAGGTCAGGGGAGGGGTCTCTCTGTTGCGGCAGCTGCCTCCTGGGGCTCACGCCTAGGAGAAGCTGAGAGATGTAGGGCAGATAGGTGCCTTTTCCTAACTTGAGAGCCAGTGTGGTGTAGTGGTTAAGAGCGGTAGTCTCGTAATCTGGGGAACCGGGTTCGCGTCTCCGCTCCTCCACATGCAGCTGCTGGGTGACCTTGGGCTAGTCACACTTCTCTGAAGTCTCTCAGCCCCACTCACCTCACAGAGTGTTTGTTGTGGGGGAGGAAGGGAAAGGAGAATGTGAGCCGCTTTCAGACTCCTTTGGGTAGTGATAAAGCAGGATATCAAATCCAAACTCTTCTTCTCTTCTTCTAACTTGTGAGTTGGGACCTTGGACAATAACGAGTTACACTAGTGGCCCAAATTGTGGAAACCTTTTTGGGGAAAGTGTATTTCCGAGGTTTGATGGCTCGTAACACCACTTTCTTTTGGAGTAATACCATAAAATTATAGATCAGTGGAATGATAATTTAATGAAGAATGTAATGCGACAATGTTGGTTCAATTATCTGTATTCTATCCAAAGATATAGCCCAATAACCAGAAAAAGGAAGCACAACTTGCTTAGGTTGACAGTAGCTTTCCTTCATTTGAATGTAGCCAGTGAGCATGAGTGTTTATGAGGTGCTATGAGCCATTGAACCTCGGAAATACACTTTCCCGCAAAAGGTTTCCACAATTTGGGCCACTAGTGTAATTCCTCACTCTGGATATACGTGGCCGGACAGCGCTGTGACAATAAGACAGCAACATTGGGGAAGCGTCTCAGAAAAGCAGATGGTCCACCACTATTAAATCCCCCACTATTATTGCGTCAATGATACGTTGTAGGATACACTTACCGAAAACCCCCAAAAACAAACATCCTGGAGGAGCTCTAGCTGAGGACTGTGGCTGAAGCTGTGGTCGTACACAGTGGTAACCTACAGAGGGAGCTCTTAATTGGCAAACCTTTAATTACCAGGTTGCTGTTATTTTGCTTTCCAAGCTATGGCAACTGGAGTGGATGTGATTCTGGGAAGGGGATGGAGGCTGTTGCATGGACTGTCCTTCCAACTCCTGCAGCTGCCTTTGCCACATCCAGCTTCTCCTATCCTCTGGTGACCCTCCTCGCTGTTGTCGTTTTTTTCCTTTCCTTTCTTTTTTTTTGCAGTTAAATGTGTTTTGAAGCTGTCTCCATCCCAGCAGGGACCTTTCACATTCACTTAAGTCTGCCTCTCTCTGGTGTGGGCTGTCTTTGCACCAGAGTGTGAATGTACCTGTTGCGTCTTCTTGGGGCGCCTGCGATTTGTTTGACCACAGCCATCCTGACGCCAGGTGGCCTTGACCCCAGGGCGCCGGAAGTTGCTCTTGTTCTCGCAGGGCAGTAGGCCGAGCTAATTCTGCCGCTGTCGCTACGGTCACAGGGGGACTTTGCAGAATAGGAATACAGTGGTACCTCGGGTTCAGTACTTAATTCGTTCCGGAGGTCCGTACTTAACCTGAAACTGTTCTTAACCTGAAGCACCACTTTAGCTAGTGGGGCCTTCTGCTGCCGCCGGAGCACGATTTCTGTTCTCATCCTGAAGCAAAGTTCTTAACCCGAGGTACTATTTCTTGTTAGCAGAGTCTGTAACCTGAAGCGTATGTAACCTGAAGCGTATGTAACCCGAGGTACCACTGTAAACCGGCTTCCCTGTCCCAGCCCCAACTTTGGCTGCGTACACACCATGCAGTTAGAGCACATTCTTTAGGGGGAAGCCATGTGCTTAAATGTTTGGTGTGTAAGCAGCAAATGTTGTTTTTGTTTCTGTTGCCCTATTCAGGGATGCCCAAAGAGGGCCAGATTTGATGAAGTGAACATGCGTTGAGGGCCTACCAGAGTTGTTGAGCTTCTTTTAGCATTTTACCCCAGGACATATACAGTGGTACCTCAGGTTACATACACTTCAGGTTACATACACTTCAGGTTACAGACTCCGCTAACCCAGAAATATTACCTCAGGTTAAGAACTTTGCTTCAGGATGAGAACAGAAATCGTGCTCCGGCGGCGCGGCAGCAGCAGGAGGCCTCATTAGCTAAAGTGGTGCTTCAGGTTAAGAACAGTTTCAGGTTAAGAATGGACCTCCGGAACGAATCAAGTACTTAACCCGAGGTACCACTGTACTACCACGGGGGCCAAATTAGGCCCCCGAAACAGACTTTGGACATGCCTACCCTATGTGATCCTGGGGCTGAAGAGGCAAAAAGGAGGCATATGTAAGACTGCATATATCACACAATTACACATTAAAAATGTAAACAGATATATAAGGAACTTCTCTCTCTCTGGTACTGTGAAATCACTTTAAGGTGATTCAAAGGAAGCGACTCATAAAGGAATAAATAAACAAATAAATAGTAACTCTTGATTCTGCCGTTATAAAACGTAGGTTGGCATGCTCACACCTCGGATGTTTTTAGGGATGGGGTGAATCATTCCCCAATTAACTACTTTTGGTAGTGTGTACAAAATGGGGGAGAAAGGGGTGGTTAAGGCAGGGTCAGCCTTATCATTTGGTAGAGTGAGGCAGCCATCTCAGGGAACTGGCTGTGGGTGTTCTAAAAAAACAACAAATCCTTCGTTTTTTGTTTTATTCATTTTTGAGTTTTTACTGGCAGCGGGGAAGAGGAAGCACTTAATGGGATTCGTTTTGCCTCAGGTGCCAAAATCCCTTTTCTGGCCTTGGGTACCTTGGGTACCTTGGTTATTTTGATTTGCGAGGTGGGCCTCAGCTTTTTTGGGTCAGCCCTGCTTCTCATGAGAATGCAGCAGTGAAGTGGCTGTGTGGCCATGTAGGGAAGGTCTTCACATGGCAGATGGAGCTTGCAAACTGTGCCTCAGTTTATGTGGGATGCGCTGAGCTGGTTCAGAGGAATGTGTAAATTAATCCGAAGGCCCAGGGAAGCTGGAGACTCTAGCAGCTGCCAGATTTGGGATTTCTGCCCAAATGTGAAGGGCAACTTGAAGCCTTGCGGGCAACCCTTTGGGAGATTTCACCGTGGCCTGTTTTGTCTGTAGACAGATTCCTCAAAATGGCTCCCATGGTAGTCGCTGCTAATCTTGTACAGTAGTACCTCGCAAGACGAATGCCTTGCAAGACAAAAAACTCGCTAGACGAAAGGGTTTTTGTTTTTTGAGCTGCTTCGCAAGACGATTTTCCCTATGGGCTTGCTTTGCAAGACGGAAACGTCTTGCAAGTTTGTTTCCTTTTTCTTAACACCGTTAATACAGTTGCGACTTAACTTCGAGGAGCAACTCATAGCACACGGTGTGGTAGCCTTTTTTGAGGTTTTTAAAGACTTTGGTGATTTTTGAAGCTTTTCCAAAACTTTCCCGACACCGTGCTTCGCAAGACGAAAAAAATCGCAAGACGACAAAACTCGCGGAACGAATTAATTTCGTCTTGCGAGGCACCACTGTACCTCTCAATCCTTAATGCTCTCTTTCTCTCTCTCTCTCTGCCCCTATTAGGACTCATCATCTGCACAAGACCTGACAAGACAAACAGATCCAGAAGACAACTTGCCGAGAGAGCCGTATTTCCAAAGACTGGCTTGTGTGTATTAGACATTTGGTGGCTACCTCCAACATTTCAGGCCTGGACGTGAGGCATCTCTTGCAGAAAACCCCTCGCAATTCCGGTTAGGAATGGTTCCCTCCCCACCGGAGACAGCATCCCTCGGGCATCACGGCGTTCCTTGCCTTCTCCCTCAGGAGTCCTTGGCCTCTCCTTGCGGCCATATTTGCTTCCCAGTCTACTAATGCCTTGTGGATGCGGAGTTTCAGCGACGCAGGAAGGAAGGCCTACCAACTGCCTCAGGCCAATCCCTATAGGTCTCTGGGGGGCTGCCCCACGGAGACACCGAGCCAGCGCAGGGGCCGTCGCCATGTCTGCCTCCTGAGATGCCAGGCTGTTGGGCGACATGGAAGCCGCCAGTGCCAAATCCTTCTTCTGGGAGGCTTTCCCGCCCATGCCAACTTGCCGGGTCTACTGCAGCCCAACCTTCCAGGATGGGCACCTCTTTGTGGTGGGGGGCTGCAGCCAGCAAGGCCAGCCCCTGGACACGGTGGAGATGTTGGATATTGTTTCGCGCAAGTGGACGGCGCTGCCTCCAATGGCCACCCCGCGGGCAGGGGCTGCGGCAGTGATGCTTGGCAAGGACGTGCTGGTGATCGGAGGGGTGGACGCCACGCAGAGCCCGCTGGCCTCGGTCGAAGTCTACCATGCGGATGAGGGCAGGTGGGAGAAGAAAGCAGACCTTGCCCAGGCTTCCATGGGCGTCTCTGCAGTCGAGAAAGGTAGGTGCGGCGAGAGACTGGGGCTGAATCTACACATACATAGTAGTAGTAGTAATTATTATTATTATATTATTATATTATATTATATTATATTATATTATATTATATTATATTATTAATATTTTTATTTATTTATTTATACCCCGCCCATCTGGCTGGGTTTCCCCAGCCACTCTGGGTGGCTTCCAACAGAATACAGTGGTGCCTCGCAAGACGAAATTAATCCGTTTCGCGAGTCTCTTCGTCTTGCGGTTTTTTCGTCTTGCGAAGCACAGCTATTAGCGGCTTAGCGGCTGTTAACGGCTTAGGGAAATTCACCCATAGGGAAATTCGTCTTGCGGAATGACTCAAAAAACGGAAAACCCTTTCGTCCAGCGAGTTTTTCGTCTTGCGAGGCATTCGTCTTGCAGGGCACCACTGTATTAAAATACAGTAGTCTGTTAAACATTAAAAGCTTTCCTAAAGAGGGCTGCCTTCAGAGGTCTTCTAAAAACCCTATACGGCCTAGGACCCTCGTACCTACGGGACCACCTCTCCTGGTATGTCCCACGAAGGACCTTACGGTCTTCACACAAAAATATCTTGGAGGCCCCGGGCCACAGGGAGGTTAGGCTGGCCTCAACCAGAGCCAGGGCCTTTTCGGCCATGGCCCCAATCTGGTGGAATGCTCTGTCACAAGAGACTAGGGCCCTGCGGGACTTGATATCTTTCTGCAGGGCCTGCAAGACACAGCTGTTCCACCAGGCCTTTGGGCAGGGCACAGAACTCTAACCCAATGGTTGCCATTAATTTGATTTGAACTGATCTTATAATGAAGTGATTTTAGAATGTTGTATTATTTTACTGTTGTAGCCGCTCTGAGCCTGGCTTCGGCTGGGGAGGGCGGAATATAAATAAATTATTATTATTATTATTATTATTAGTCCGAGAAGGCCCTCTGCCTGGTTCCCTGTAACTTGGCTTCTTGCAGTGAGGGAACCGCCAGAAGGCCCTCAGCGCTGGACCTCAGTGTCTGGACAGAACGATGGGGGTGGAGATGCTCCTTCAGGTATACTGGACCAAGGCCGTTTAGGGCTTTAAAAGACACTTTGAAAATGTTAATTTTTATATATATATATATATATATATATATATATATATATATATGCAGGTTTTGGTGTCCTCGGGTGTCTTCCCGTGTAAAAGTTGGGGTGTCTAGGCGACGTTTCGACGAGATCTCACTCGTCATCTTCAGGCTGGTGCTTTCGGCTTCTTGTTACTGGAACAGAGCAGGATCTCAGTGTTTGAGTTCCTATAAATACTGTTGAGGGGGTGTGGTGTATAGCCTCCTATGTTCTGGGCAGAGAGGAAGTTCCCAGGCTAGTGTGCCTTTTCTTCTTTTGTTCCTTAATTAATTATATATATATATATATATATATATATATATATATATATATATATATACGTCGCCTAGACACCCCAACTTTTACACGGGAAGACACCCGAGGACACCAAAACCTGCATTCCTGTACCCGTGAAAATCTACGAAAGCATATATATATATATATATATATATAGCATTTTCCATTAGCATACCAGCACCATCTAGCATCACATTTGTATAATGCACTTGGAACACATTTAAAATGTTCTGTTTGCAGCTGCATAGCTGAGTCCCGGAAGAAGTAGCTCCAAAGTGGGAGAAAGGAGGGTTTATCTCTTTGTATGTGAATGAATGACAGGATATACAGTTGTACCTCGGAAGTTGAACGGAATCCGTTTCAGGAACATTCGGGAACCAAGGCACGGCTTCCGATTGGCTGCAGGAAGCTCCTGCAACCAATCGTAAGCCGTGATGGACATTCGGGTTCCAAAGAACGTTCGCAAACCGGAACAATCACTTCCGTGTTTGCAACGTTGGGGAGCCAAAATGTTGGTCTCGCAAGGCGTTCAACTTCCAAGGTATGACTATATAAGATATAAATATGATAAAGGGCCTTATACGTTTTTCTCTCTCTCTTTTCTTTTGCTTTTATATCCTTTTAAAAATAATATTCTTGTTCTGTAGACTGGTTTGATTCTTACTGTATTTTATGTCGAAAATTTTCAGTAAAAACACTTTTTTAAAAAAAGAGAAAGGTAGGTGCAGATTCGCTCTCGTGTAGCTAAGCAGGGTAGCATGATGTGGAACAAGCATCTCTCAGTGTGTTTTTTGTTCTGAGCATTAGGGATCTGCAACAAATTTTTGCAGCATGGTTCTCCTGGTCAGGCCACCAACCAGCCACACCCTCATCAGGACGCTCCATTCTGCCCTACCGCAGTTTCATTGATTCCTCATCAGCGTTCTGTTCCGCGGAGCTTATTCAGTTCTCATTGGTCTATTTCAGCCCCCTCATTTTTTTGTTCCTCTACAAACCTTAGGGTTTCTCCAAGCCTGTTTCTTATGTACAGATAGTGTCCTTTTGACTGCACAAGGACTCACACTCGGCAAATGAGTTGCTGTTGGTATATTAGCTGCTTCTTTAATTAAGCACTCGTTGCATGATGAATGGAGTTTCGGGTTTCTTTAATGGGAGTCAGGCAGGGAGGAATAACTTAAGTGCAATTGCACACACCTGGTGCTCCATTTCAAAAGCCGCTTACTCCGCTGCTTTTAAAAGAAAGCTTGATGGCTTCTCCGTTGCAGTGTTTTCCGATGTTTAATTTTATCACTTTGCAACCTGCCTTGAAAATTCCTTTGCTAAAAGGTGGGGCTCCAAGCTATGCTGGGTCCATAGCTGATCTTTGTGCAGTGTTGGCGCAAAAGCTTAGAGCTTTCTTGGGCTATGAATCCGATATGCATGCTGACTCTCGTTTCTGTAGGGAAGGCAACTCGATTTTAATAAGATGCTGGGCATATACAGTGTCACATAGGTAAGTTTTCCTTGCTGATCCAGCATCGCATTCAAATCAGGCCTGAGATTCACATTTGGTCAGCTTGGGCAAGAAGGATTTGTCTCCAGACAGTGTTGTAAACAAAATCTGCCCTTCTTCCCTTATGGGGTATCCAAGAGCCCATATAGAGTCCTTAAGTGGGTTCCCTATCCGTAGGAGAAAATAACAGAGGCCAACCAGAGAATATTGAGAAGCAAAGCAGCTAGTAAGCCTGGTCTTTATTAAAGCTGTTGCAACAGGGTGCTCCCCTCACCTGCAGGAGGACGGAGGAGGACGAAGGTGTGCCTGCCCTTATATAGACATTTTAAATTCCCTGCCCTGGAGCTCAAGACCACCCCTCCATACATCATACATACCATCACAGAAAGGGTGTGACCCAAGACCACCCCTCACAAACATCATACCTACATCACAGAAAAGGCGGTCTACAACAGAAATTTGAACGTTGTTGGTTTTCCTGTCTGCCAGGTTATCTGATAATGCCTTATCTGATTGCCTTTCCCGGTAGTCTGGCCATTCCTTTGAGAAGGAGATTACCCAATTCCTGAGACAATGGGAAGGTTCCCTCACCCCCTCCCTCCTTGCAGAGAAAACATTTTGTCAGTTTGGAAGTCAAAATGGTTTCAAGACGGTCTTCCTGTGCTGCTCCAGACATGTGGTCCACTTATCTATGTTTGTGCTTGGTTGGTACATTTATGAACATTTAGTATATATATAAGACCTTAATTTTTTTTATTACAAAAGGAAAGCCTTACAAATACCGTTCTTGTTTGTTTTGTTTCTTATGGCCAAACTATACATTTACACGTGACACCCATTATTCAGCCTCTTTCTCGACCATCATCTTGTAGCTGCTGTTAACATTAGGCTGCAATAAAACAATGAACAGGGTGGTGATATGCTGCAATTGACAGAAGATAATTATCACCAAAGCTACTATTTGTCAACAAACAATAAACATCCATAAAAATGGCAAATAGGTTTTATCTTAAACTATTGCAAACGCAGTAAATAAAGAGTTCGCATGTGATACATCAGTGGTTCTGCACTCATTTCTTCTCTTTCCAAAATAGATTTTATCTTGAACAACTGCAAACACAGTAATAATGATTCCATTTGTGATATACCAGTGGTCCAGTGCTCGGAGATCGTTCAGACATTTCGCCGCTAAAGAGCTTAGTATTTGAGCTTTGTAGTAAATAATATACAAGAGAAAAGTTGAGTGTAAATGACTTAAAGCACGTTTAACAAACTGAAGGACATCGTCCTCTTTCTATGCTCCTCCCGATGGAAACACGCAGATGGCAACAGATAGACCCCTGCTTTTATCATATTGTGATATTATATTGTGAAATTTGCAGTCCCATTAGGCTGTGACACAGGCAGAAATGAGAAGCAGGGCCGCTCCCTTGGCTCTGCTGAGAAATTAGCTCCTTTTGACTCCAAACTCCACCTCCCTGAACCGTTTCCATTCCCAGCTGATGACGACAAGAACTTTGAGAATTGATGCCTGAGCTCCATTGCTTTCCTCTTCCCTCCCCATCGCCCTTTCTTTCTGTGCTGTGTCTTTCAGATCATAAGCCCAAGGACATGGGCTTTATTGTTATTTCTTATTTTCCATAAGCAGCTCTTAAGAGTCTTTCTGCTGAAGAGAGTGATAAGAATGCTTTTAAATGAATAAAACGAACATTGCTGGTTTTGATGCAAAGCTGCTGAAGGAGCTTGCCAGTTTGATTGGAGACGGGTGCCGGGAAAGCGGGTGTCTAAACCTCTCCTTCCCCCTGCACTTCCTCTGCCAAAATTGTACGTCCTTAAGATCTTGTTAGCTCTGCGGGGTGATTGGGTTGGTTCTCCTCTCCTACAGGACTTAACAACAGCTTCAGGAGAGGTAATTTAGATCGGAAAAATAGATGGAACTAGTGTGGAAGGGTTTAATACTCCCTCACCCAGTACTGCTGCTCTGATAAGATTTGGGAGCCTTCCACAGCTGCTGTAAAGCTAAATCCTCCACCCCACCCTGAAACAGAAGATCTGCTCATCAGTTGCCCACGTAATGTGTAGCTTGGCACTCACAACCTCCCTTGTAA